ACAGCTGTGCCGAAATAGGTGTGGTGGCGCCATGCGAACCCTGCAACAGGTGCCTTCGGCGGAGCCCCCTGTGGGGCCACGAAGCGTGCGAGGGGTGTGCCGACACGGGCGCGGTGGCGCCATGCGAAACCTGCAACTAGGGCCTTCGGCGGGGCTCCCTATGGGGCCACGAAGCGTGTGAGGGGTGTGCCGACATGGGTGCGGTGGCGCCATGCGAACCCTGCATCTGGGACCTTCGGGGCTACGGAGTGTGTGAGGGGTGTGCCAAAATGGGTGCAGTGGCGCCACGCGAACCCTGCAACTGGGGCCTTCGGCGAAATTCTCTTTGGGGCCACAGAACGTGTGAAGGATGTGCCAAGATTAGTGCGGTGGCGCCATGCGAACCCTGCCACTGGGGCCTTCGGCGGAGCTCCCTACGGGGCCACGAAACGTGTGAGTGGTGTGCCGAAACGGATGGGGCGAAGCATGGATGAGGATGATGGGATGATTGGGTGATGATAATGATGATATGGAGGAGGGAAGAGGGGAGGGAGGAGAGGGAGGAGAGGAGAGGATGAAGGAACGCGGGGCGCTGTCTCTTCAAAACGAAGACCCAACACCACAGGATGGTCAAGACAAAAACCTTCAATACGTCACTCGGGGGCCTCCATCGCTCTGAATCTGGAGTCGGTGCATCGCCTGCGCATCGCTTGTGTATCGCCGATGCGTCGCGATCCCCCGACCCCATCTACTCAGATTCGAAGTGGGAGGCCCGCGCCACATGATTCTCACTTTTGCGTGCAGGGGGAGGGGCTCTGGTTTCCGGGCCGCTCCCCAGATCTAGCCCGAGGAAGTTTGAATTCCAACGTGGGTCTGTTACCATAGAGAGGGCCAAGAGACAAACGCTGAAACACCTATGATGCCTATCTGTGCATCTGCGGTCCGGCAAATCGGGGCGGCGTCAACGTGACGCCCAGGGGAAGCCCCTGCGTGAGGGTCGCCGTGGCCAGTGGCCGGGCCCAGACGTGCGACGCCCAGCTGTCTTCCACGCGCGGCCCCCGAAGCCCCGGCCCTCTCCCCAGGGAACCGGCGGCTCGTCCCGAGTCGCGGGCCCTGAGGGTCCCAGGGCCCGGCGAGGACCCCCAGAGGCCGAAGAGGGCCCGAAGACCAGCCGTCCCGATTTCCTCGCGGCGCGGGCACGACTGAGCAGGCATCTATAGGGAAACGAAGAATCGCATACACATGAGCACTCGTAGGTCCGCGCGGATTTCTCGGATCGGCGCTGGGGCCCGCTGGCGGTGCCTCCGGCGCCACCCCTGGTGCGCTCCGCGCGCCAGGGAGGGGGGTCCAGCGCCGATCCGAGAAATCCGCGCGGACCTCCGAGTTCTCATGTTTATGTCATTCTTCGTTCCCCTCGTATCTCCGCCCGACGCGGGCACGACAGGCGGATTTTGGAAGAAAAATCGAAGAATCGTCAAACCATAAACATACCCAAAAAATGACTCGAACAATCTTCCCCATGGCGAACGCCAAGCCCGACGTAAGACTGGGCAGGCATCTCCACCCGAATGGGGGCCTCCAGCGCGCGAAGGGCGCAACCGCCCGGGCCGCCGTCGCCAGGCCCGCCGCGCTCTGCCGCCCGCGCCACCGCCTGGACGAGCGCTGCGGGGACCGTGGCGGCGTCGGCGTCGAGAGGCAGCCCCAGCACGGCGGCCGCTGCGCTGGCCAGGCGCCAGAGCACCTCGTCGGGGAGCAGCAGCTCTACGGGCGAAGAACGGTGTCGAGTAAACTGTTTCGCTTTCGGGGGCGCCTGTCCTAGGGCGGCTACGAAGTCTATAGCGGTGCGGTGCCACGCAGGGGTATAAACGCTCGAAGTCGCCCGTGGGCAGGCGTCCCCGACGGCGGAACAAAAATATATCTTACACCGCTTCTTCGCCCCCTAAACAACCAGACCCCTTCTAGGAGGAGGCCTCCAGGTAGGCGTTTTCGTAGCTTCGTGGCGGTCTTCCAGCCTCGGGATGCCTTCCAGCAGCTGCGCCTCGCCGAGAGTCGGGCCGGGCGACAGGGGGGGATAGCAAAGGGGGGGGTGAGAATCAGCTCATGTCCCGGCGCCTCCCGGCGCCGGGCCGCCCATGTATCAGAGAACGGGCCCGGCGGCGGGGCCGAAACCAGCTGCATGCAGCAAATTTCGCAACCCCGCTTTCGTCCGGCCGCCCTTCGTCCGGCCGCCCTCCGTCCGGCCCGAGAGCGCGTTCGTCCGGCCCGAGAGAGCGTTCGGCCGGCCCGGGCCGAGAGAGCGTTCGGCCGATCGAAGGGCCGAGAGAGCGTTCGGCCGGTCCCGATCCCCCCCCGTCGTCGGGCCCGAGAGAGCGTTCGGGGGGGGGGTAGCCTCGTCCCGAACGGCCGCCGGAGAGCCGAGCCGTGGCCCGAAGACCCCGGGCAGCGACAATGGGGGGGATGGGCTCCGGCGGGGCGGGAGTGTCGAGCTGGGATCGGGGATACATTGCCAGTATAGGGGCCTGGTGACCCCCCCCGCCCATGCGATCGGGTGGCTATCGCCGATCCATGGGCGTCGTATCCCCGATTCCAGCTCGACGCTTCTCCCTCTGAGCCACAATCCCCTCCTATCGCTGCTCTGACTTCTGGCACGCCTGGGAGTTCGGAACCCCCAGACATGCCCGCGTCGTGAGAAGAACTGGACGGGAAGGTTTTCATAATGTTCGGCCTCTGGGGGCCCTCTATGGGCCCCGGGACCGTCGAAACACGGCTCAGGATGAAAACACGGTACTCGGGAACGGGCTTGGACTTCTGGGGACCGCGCATTGAAAAACAAGAGGACGTCGAAGGTCTGGGTCGGCAATGGCCCGGACCGCCCGAGCGCAAATGTGGACTGCCTCTTCCGCGCTGCGACTTGAAAATGCCTGGGTCGAGTCGGCAGGCCCCTCCCCGTCCCTGACGGGAAAGACCTGGCCCCGCTGTCTGGAGGGAGCTCCTGGGAGGTCCTCGAGGACCTCCCAGGAGGACAGCACGAAGACCTCCTTGGAGGTTTAACACCACTAACTGTTCCTACGAAGACATCTCGTGGGATGCTGGCCAGGCGCCAGAGCACCTTTTGGCTTTTGGGCGGCTGGAGAGTGACACCGACACAAGCACAGGGGGGTGCCTCCTTGGGGGGAAGATGATCCCCAAGGAGGCTGGTGGAAATTTCACGGCAAACTCAGAAACCCGAATCGTACCACCAGTACCGAGGTCAGGATCATCTTTCCTCTGAAGCGGCAACGGGAATTGGCCTTCAAGAGAACTAAACGCGATTAGCTCGGATGAAACGGGATTCAGCCGGACTAGGACGATTTCCGTCCACGGGCATACCAGCGCCATGGAATTCCCCTCCAAGGATGAATGTGACCTCCAAAAAATTGCAACTGCGCCTGAGTAAGTGGAAATTAATGCCGTCTTCGTCAGGTTTCGTGGCATCCATCTCCGCGTCGAGGTGGTACGATATTGAAAGATGGGGGCCCTGTGACGAGGAGGCCTGAAACAGTGCAAACTCAAGCTGGAATCCCTTTTCTATCCCCTACCTATGGCCTCGTCCCCTCTGGACCCTATCTCTAGGCCCCCCAGACGTCAGACGTCGCGATTATTTCGCCGCGTGCCCCCCCCCCACTCAGAGTTCTGGACCCCTTTCCGAGGATCGGCTTTCACACCGAGCTCGTTTTCTGACGGTGCCGAGGGCCCCCCACAGGCCAAAAAATGACTGACACCTCCCGCCGCGATCTCGTCCGCAGCGTCAGGAGGCCAAGGCCCACCTTTGGACCCCCAGGAGCACCGCGGAACCGCCGGCTCCCTCCTCCCGCGCGGGCAGGCCGAGGGCCCTCTCCCAGCACGCCCGCGACAGCTCCTGGGGTCCCCCAGGGGATCGGCGGGGGCGGCAGGGATGGACAAGCCAGGGGGGCGGGCACCACACGCGGCATGTCTGGGGACGCCGCACCTGTGGCGCGCCAGAAGCCACGGGCAACGATTGGGGGAGAGAGGCTCCTGGGGGAGGTGCGTCGACCTGGAATCAGCGATACATCGCCGATAGATCGGCGACAGGCCCCCGATAGCGAATCCGCACGCTCCTGGGCGGGGTGGGCTATCGGGCCCCTATCGGCGATCAACGGGCAATGGGGGGTCAATGCGCCCCCTCCTGACAATCATGTTCCCTTCGCGCTGCCCCCAAGGGAATTGGCGGCGCGCACAAGGGGGTGGAGGGAGGGGGAGGGCTTCTTAGAAAGAGGCTGCTTCTTAGAAGGCGCCGGCCTTACATCTATAGATAAGGCCCGCGCCTCCTAAGAAGCAGGGGTGCTTCTAAGAAGCCCCCCCCCACTTCCCCCACCCCACCCCCCTTCTGCGCGTGTCTGAGGGAAGCCTCGTCGAAGACACGGGCGACAATGGAACCCTTGGAGCCAATTCTTCTGTCATTCGCGAGAACGCCCGTGACCGGCCCTGGCCACTCCCTCCCTTCCTCCCCTGGTCACGAAATGATTCGCGCTTGCGCCGTCTGGGAATGAGCCATTCTTAGGCTCAGGTCGGGCGTGTCCTCCTACAGGCGGATCTTTGATTGAAAAAAAAGTGCAACAAAACAATCAATAAATACTAACAAATTATGGAACAGTCGTTCCGAGAATACTTTTTTGGCTATTTTTGAAGATTCCCCCTGTAGAGGGACACGCCCGGCTTAATCATAGGCGCTCCCGCACGGCGCTGGCACGAATCGTGGCGTGGCCGGCCCCCTCCCATTAGGCGTCGCTCCGTGGGGAGGCGATAAGCGGGCGGGGGGGGAAAGTGCACTTCTCGGGCCTAACGGCCCCCTCGTGGGCCCTGTAGGGGGCCCCATTCCGGGGCCTTAGAAAGGTCCCTGTTCTGCAGCACTCGCTGCCCCCCCCATGCATCGCCCCCCCACTGCGCGACGCCCAACCCGCCCCCTTCGCCCCTCTTCCGGGTCACGCCCGTTCTCGCCAGGGGATGCAACGAGCCTCCAGTCACGTGCAATGCCCTCCCGCTTGGCTCACCGCCCCTGCTGCGGCCGCCGGCCGGGAAACCCGCGAGAGGTCCCCCGCGCCCAGCTCGGCCGCGGCGCCGGCAGCGCACTCGACCTTTCAGGGGCGTCCACGGGGGGGGGCGTCCAGAATGGGGGGCTAGCAAGTCGAAATCCAAGGCGCGGGCGAAGACGAGGGGGGGGACGGGGCCAGGAAACGTGTGGGAAGGAAAGGATGAGGCCAGAAAGCGTGGGAGATGTATCTATCACTCGGCGCTGAAGGCGGCTCGTCCCAATCGAGTAACTGCTTGTTGAATAATTGGGGGCAGTTTCATGGTGACCCGGGGATTGCCCAGGGTTCTCAAACTGCTTCTTAAGAACTGAACTACGTGGAATATTATCATTATGGGGCCAGGCTGGGGCTTCAAATTCCAGGGTACCCCCCGCGCCTGTCTACGAAAATTGGAGATGTTCAATTAACATGCATGGGCGTGCGGGGTCATGGTGCTTGAGCATGGCGGGTGGATGTGAAATAGCGCACTATATCAATTACTCTCGCCTGGGCGGGCGGCAAGGACATCATCCCTGAATCAGGGCATGCGGGGCACACTATGGGGGGAACCCTACGGGGGGGCAACCTGCGCGAGACAACTGAAGAAAGGCATCAATGATCGTTTCACTTGTATCATGGGCCCTGGCATGAAGTGCTGTATTCCAATCGTGTACATGGCACCACGCAGGTGACCCACAGGCAGGTGGGTCCCCCGACATCAGGTTGAGAAGAACGAAGTGCTTTCTTTGCGTTCTGGGCCCCGACTTGGGGTGATGCATTCCCAGTCAGTACGTTTCGTGCACTAAAAGGGCACAATGCGAATGACCCACAGGCGGGTGGGTCACCCGAGATACTGTTGGGAAGCACAGCATGTGTCACTTGCGTGGTGGGACCCGACAAGAGGTGATGCATCCCAAATCGGTACATTCCCCGCTCGTAACAAGCACCACGCACGTGACCCGTAGGCGGGTGGGTCACTCAACAGTGTCACTTGCGTTCGAAAACCCAATATGGCGTCATGAATCATTCAATATGCCCACGTGGAGCAGGCACCACGCAGGTGACCGACATGCAGGTGGGTCATCCACCAACTGGTTGAGAAAAACATGTTTCATTTGCGTGCTGGGCCCCACCACGGAATGATGCATTCCCACACGATACATCCCCCAAATGTAGCAGGAACCGCAGGGGTGGCCCACAGGCAGGTGGGCCACCCGACAACTGGCTACTGGCTGGGAAAAGCCAATGGGTTCTCTTCCCGTCAGGGCCCCAGCAGGGGGTTACGCACTCACATGCAAATAGCTTCCACACCAAGCAGGCACCACGCACGTGAAGCGACGATGCCACCCGAAAACAAGTCGGGACAACTGGGTTGATTCACTTGCCTTCTTGGTCCCAACACGAGGTGATGTATTCTCATCCGACGCATGTCCCACATGGAGCAGACGCCGCGCAGGTGGCCCACAGATGGGTAGGTCACCCGAAACCTGGTTGAGAACAGCAAGTTGTGTCACTTGCACTCAAGGCCCCAAAATGGAGCGACGCAGTCTAATCCAATACGTGTCCCGCAAGATGCAGGCACCGCCCAAGTGACCTACAGGCGAGTGCGCCACCCGAAAACCACGCGAACAGAAAACAACAAAACACGATTTCCTGGCATCGCGACCCCTGCCACGAAGCGATGCATTCTCACTTCAACGCACTTCCCGCGCAGAGCAGCCGCGTGGCAGGTGGCCCGCAGGGCAGGTGGCCCGCAGGGCAGGTGGCCCGCAGGCGGGTGGGCCACCAGTAAACTGGTTCAGAAAGCCGATTGTTCCATGTGCAGTCTGGGCCCAATCACGAGGCGATGCGTTCACATCGGAGAGGTATCCCGCTCAAAGCAGGCGCGAAGCAGGGGACCCACAGGCGGGTGGGTCACCCGACGACTGATAGAGCAAACCAGCTGTTGCACTTGCAGTTAGAGCCCAATCACATACTGCCGCATTCTCATTCAATGCATGGCCCATGTGGAGATGGCGCCACGCAGGTGACCCATAGGCGGGTGGGCCACCCGACAATGGGCCCTGGCACGCGGCGATGCACTCCCACCCAATGCATTCCCCGCGTGGAGCAGACACGTGCAAGAGACCCACCAGGAAACCTGATAGGGGATAATCAACTTAATTCAAATGGAATCTGGGCCGAAACATGGGGCCATGCATTCTCATCCAATGCATTTCCCGTGCGGAGCAAGCGCCGCGCGCGTGATCCACTGGCGGAGGTGTCACCCGAGAACTCGTTAGAAACCAGTTGTTGCGAATGCATTCGGAGCCCGAACACGAGGACGCATCCCAATTCGATGCCTTCCCGCGCGAAGCAGGCACCACGCAAGAGAACCCGCTGGCGGGTAGGTGGCCCGAAATCTACATGAGAACATACAGCTGTGTCACTTGCATTCTTGGCCTCGGCGCGAGGCGATGAATTTCCCGCGCGAAGCACGCGCCGAACAGGTGGCCCACAGGCCGCCGGTCCACTCCAAAGACGACATGGGAAAAACAAATACGGCACGTGCGTTCTGGGCCCCAACGCGGGGCACGTGCGTTCTGGGCCCCAACGTGGGGCCCTTCCCGCATGGAGGGGCCACCGTGCAGGTGGCCCACTGGTGGATGGGTCGCCCGAAAAGAACTCGAGAAAAACCAATTGGATCACTTGCGCCGCGGGCCCAAACGTGGGGTGACACATTCTAATTCAATTGCCCGCGCGAAGCAGGCACCGCGCAGGTGGCCCACAGGCGGGTGGGCCACCCGAAAGGTTGAGCATGACGCATTGTTTCAGGTGCGTGGCGGGCTCTAAGAAATTCTCAATCAATAGGCTTGCGGGGTGAAGCAGGCACCGCGCAATTGACCCACAAGCGGGTGGGTCACCCGAGAACTGGCCGAGAAAAGACCTGGCGTCCCACTTGCCCACTGGGCCCCAACACGCGGCGACATCACTTCCATTCAAATTTTTCCCGCAAGAAGGCACCGCGCAAGTGGCCCGCAGGCGAGTGGGTCACCCAAAAACTGGTCGAGAAAAACCCAGCGTTGCACTGGCTCTGGGCCCCAACACGGGGGGATGCATCCCCCTTCGACGCGTGCCCCACGCGAAGCGGGCGCCGCGCAAGTGACCCACGGGCGGGTGGGCCACGCAAAAACAGTGAGCGAAAAAACACCCGTGCGACTTGCAGTCTGAGCGCGCAGTGAATCTCCAGGATGGGGCGGGCACGGCGCAGGTGGCCCACGGGCAGGCGGGCAACCCGGCAATGGGCCGGGGGAAGCCAGTGTGTCCACTCGCATCCTGGGCCCCAGCATGGGGTCATGCATTCCCAATCAATGCATTGCGCTCATGGAGCAGAGGCAACCTAGGTGGCCCAAAGGCCCAACGGCGACCCCAAAAGCGGGAGGAGGGCAGCCGAAAACTGGCTGAGAACGGACAAGTTGCACTTGCACTCTCGGTGCGCACGTGAGGCGACATATCCCGTCGACGCGCATCCCGCATCCAGCGCGCCCGACCCGGGGGGCCCACGGACGGGCGGGACACCCGAGAGCTGGTTGACAAACGCAACATGTGTCACCTGCGTTCCCGTCCGGTACATCTCACACATGAAGCAGGCACCACGCGGGTGACACACAGGCGGGTGGGTCACCCAAACACGGATCGCAAAACAAGAACCTTCAGAACCTTCACACTTGCAATCTGGGGCCAAGCATGCTTCGATGCATTCCCATTCGATGCATCTCCGGCGCGAAGCAAGGGCCACTCAAATTACCCACATGAGCTGGGTGGGTCACCCGAGAATGTTTGAATAGTTAATATAAGCGAGCCAGTTGCACTTGAATTCTTGTCCCAAGCATGAGGCGACGCATTGCAACTCAATGCATACCCTACATGAAACAGGCACCACGCAGGTGACTCACATGCGGGGGATTGCCCGAGACTGATTGGAAGATATGCAAGTCTTACATTTGCATTCTGGGCCCCAGTACGACGCGGTCTACCCCCATTCAATACATGTCCAGAGAGGTTCACAAATCACGCAGGTGATTCGATGACAGGTGGGCCACCCAGTTGAGAAAAAGAAGCTGTTGCACTTGCAGTCTGTGCACCAACATGGGGGGATGCTTTCTATTCAATACATTTGCCGCATGATGCTGGCACCAGGCAGGTGACCCACAGGCGGGTGGGTCGCCCGAAAACTGGATGAGAAAAACAAATTGTTGCACTTGCGATCTGGGCCTCGAAATGAGGTGACGACTTCCTACTCAATTGGTTCCACACGCGAAGCCGGCACCACGCAAGTGACCCACAGGCAGGTGGGTCACCGAAAACTGTCTGGTGGTTCCAAACCCCAAAGGCTCCCTATCATTTCGCAAAAACTTCCACAAAAAAACCTCCGGTGGAAGTGTCCAGGAGCCTTCCGGAAGCCTTGCAAGGGCCTTCGAGGAAACTGTTTCGCGAGCTTCTCAAGAGCCATTCCATTGGTTCTGAACCCTCCAAACAGTCTCTCAAGGGTGTCTGTGGTGCGATGCGATGCGATGCGACCACCGTTGCGGACAGCGTCCGGGCCTAGAGCAGACCAGGTGGGTGAGGCCATGGCTGAATTCATGTGATGCGAGACATGTAAAAAGTTAGGCGGGGAGGGGGAGGAGGAGGAGGAGGAGGAGGAGGAGGAGGAGGAGGAGGAGGAGGAGGGAGGAGGAGGAGGAGGAGGAGGAGGAGGAGGAGGAGGGAGGGGGAGGAGGAGGAGGAGGACATGTGAATTCATCAAGCAAAAGAAAGTCCTTGATGAATTCATGTGAATTCCTGGGGGGCCCTGGGCAGGGCAAGGGAGCATGCCCCAAATCTTGAGGGCACGGCGGCAGTTTGAACTTGTGGTTCTTCCTGGTGCCTGCGGGGGGGGGGGGGGGGCTGGCGGGGGGGGGGGGCTGAAATGCAATTTCGGCGAGGTTGCCCCGAATACTCCCGAAGCTAGCTCGAACCAGCCCAGCTCAGATTACACGCGCGCCGACCCACCTGCAGATACCCCGCTGCACAGACACACAAAGTCACGAGGAGTTTTGCAGTACGAATTCCACCAGATTTGGGAACCCCCAAACCGGATGGTGAGATACCAGGTGGCGACCAAGAAACCCCCAAAAGGTCACCGCTGGGTTTGGGGACGCGGGGTCACCACCGGGTTTTGTGACTCCTGGACCAACCAGTGTCCGGGACATCCTCGGAAAACCGCACGAGTCCCCAAACCGGGTGGTGACACCAAATCGCCCGAGACTCACCACCAGGTATTGTCACCACCGCGTTTGGGGACTACCAACATATGTCCGGAGACTTTCCCCGGGACCTCTGTCTCCGCCCTCACAGCTGTTCTGTGACAGTCCGTGGACAGAGCGAAGGCCACGAGAGGCCGACCACGACGCACAGAAGCTCCCGTCCCGAATTTTCCACGAGCACGTCTGGGTAGTCCCTCCCTCCTTCATCCTCGTCCCCCCCTCCTACTCCCTGTCGCACACCGAGGCCGGTCGAAAGGGCGGACCAGGCGCTTCGCCTGAGACTTGCTCACCTCCTATGACCCTGAAGCTTGAAATCGACAACAAATTCACGGATTGAGGGCGGTTGGTTTGTGAAATGTGGCTCTCGCCAACGCGCCGCGCGCATTCGGTTCATTTCACTGTGTTATTTTGTTCGTTTCTTTCACACGAGAAGAAAACTTCACGGATTGAGGGCGAGTGGTTTTCAAAATATGGCTTTCGCCTCAGCGCCGCGCACATTCGTTTACAAGAACTTGCCAGTGCTTCGCGGATTACGGACGGGTGGTTTCAACATGTGGTTCTCGCCTCCGCGCCGCGCACATTGATTTTCAAAATTCGCAAAAGTTTGACGGATTGAGAGCGGCTCGTTTTCAATATGTGGCTCTCGCCTCAACGCCGTGCGCATTCGTTTTCCAAATTGGCAAGGGCTTCACGGAATGAGTGGCGCGTATTCGTTCTGAACATGTGTAACAATTTCTGTGATCCGCATGGTTCACGTACCAGACATGTTTTTTTGGGAACGATTCAGGATTACCAGGGCGCAGCAGTGACGTTGATTCGTGGTGCTAAAGTCTCAGGAATCATGTTCCGGCGCGGTTCAGTGTCGCCACGACGTAACAGTCAAGTAAAGGCGTGGAAATCCTGAGGATGGTGATCTGGCACGCTTCAAGATGTTCACACGGTTGTGCCCCAACAGGCCAATTCCCTCTGTGGGAATGACCCTTTGTAGGGGTCTATGGAGAGGGATTTGGAGGGAGGGTGCATTTCAACATCGATGGGTCTTGGGTTTACACATGTCCTCCCCTTCCCCATAGGCAGCGGGCGCTGATGGCATTAGGTCCAGCATTGGAGCTACCAAGTTCCTCCTCCTCTTCCTCCTTGCCTTTCTCCTCGAGGACGTCTGCCTCCTCCGCCTGGGACGTCCTCACCACGTATGGCCCCGATGCTTGGTGCAGCAGCCTCAAGGATGGATAGCGGGCCGCGTTCAACCTGTCGTGTTCCTGTTGACGCTGCGCACACCCATGTGGGAAGATACAAAAGCTTCACCGATGGAAAACAGGCCTTCAAAAACTTGTTCTCATGTGAGCGCTGCGGACATCCGTGTTGACAACACGCACGGGCTTGCCGGATGGGGGGCGGGCTGTTCTCAAGACGCGGCTGGGCGCCTTTAGCGACGCGCACGCTCGTCCTGGAAACGTGCGCGAACTTCACGGGTAAAGGACTGGTCGTGTTCAGAATGTGGTTCTCGCGTTCGCGCCTCGCACCTTCGTTGAACCAGTGCAAGAAACTCACGGATGGAGGGTGGTGTCCCTTCGAATGTGGCGCTCGCGTCAGCGCTGCGCACACTGGTTCTGAAAAATACAAGAGCTTCACGGATGGATGTTGGGTGGATTTCAGAGAACTGTTTCTCGCCTTAGCCCCGCGCCAATCGTCTTAAAGGTTCGCATAAGCTTCACGGATGGCGGACGGTGCTGTTTCAACATGTGGTTCTCGCCTTAGCGCCGCACGCAATCGTCTTCCAGGCTTGCAACCCCGTAGCGGTGTTCTGGCACGGCTTAGGATTGCCAGGGCGCAACAATCACGTTTATTCGCGGTGTTGAAGTCCCAGAACTGGTGTTATGACACGACTCATGATCGTCATGACGCAACAATGAAATTCATTCGCGGCATTAAAATAATTGTTCCGCGCAACCATCCACGTGACTCGGCGTTGGCCCTGTAACTCGTGCGCGAGCCGTCCGTCCGCATCATAAACCAAATGCAGACCGAGCGCGAGGCCGAGACAGCGATGCCAATGCCGATGGTTTTCAGCGTTGTGTGTGCATCCCCTAAGCGAAACGACGTGTCACGAATTAGGGCCCGCAAGTGCGGAAGGAGGAGGGAGGAGGAGGAGAAGGAGGAGGAGGACGCGGACGAGGAGGGAAACGAACGCTGCGTACAACGTGCGGCGAGAGCACACGGGGCGAGGACGCGGCTGAGGGATATGAGCCACCCGACCCCGCTTCGGCACGATCGAGTATTCTCAGAAGGTTTGTCTTCCAACGGTGCACTTCCAGCAATTGAAATATGCTGCAGGGGCCTGTGAGGAGAGAACTTGGATGGAGGGATCACTGCAACATCGTTGATGCGGATTGGGTTTACACTGGCACATCTCCTCCATCTCCTCCTCTTCTTCCGTCTGCTCGTCATTTTCATGATCCTCCCCTCGTCCTCGACATCTACCCCTCCCTTGGCGGCGCGCACAAGAGGGTAGGGGGAGGGGGGAAGGCTTCTTAGAAAGAGGCTGCTTCTCAGAAGGCGCCGGCCCTGCATCTCATGGGAAGGCCCGCGCTTTCTCAGAAGCAGGTATGCTTCTAAGAAGCCTTCCCCCCTCTCCCCCATGCCCCCCCTGCGCGTGACAGACACCCCCCCCTCTTCCTCTCGGCGGCGAGCGAAAGGGGTAAGTCAGAAGGGGCGGGCCTTATCAAAGGCTTGCAAGTCCTCCGGCCTTCTGAGGAAGTCTCGTGAGCCCTCCCCGAAGACAAAAAGGAAACTTCTCAGGAGGCGCGAGGGCTTCTGAGCAGCCCCGCCGCCTTCTGACCAGTCCTTCTGAGCAGGCCTTCTCCCTCTCATGTTCCCCCCCTCGCTCGCCGCCGATCCTTATCCTCCTCTATGGGAACGAACGATGACATAAACATAAAAACTCAGAGGTCCGAGCGGACCTCTGCGTTTTCATGTTTATGTCATTGTTCGTTACCCTATCCCCGCCCCCCTCTTGGATTTGGACGCCCGAAATGGGCACGGAAAGAATGGGTACAATGCCCAACAACAAATGTTGTCCTAAACCAACAGCGGCCGCTGTTGGGCAGGCGGCCTTCTGTCCGAAATGGACACAGGCCGCGGCGGCGCGGACAGCGAGTCCTGGTCAAAATGAACAGGAACTGCTGTTGGGCATTGTACACATTCTTTCCGTGCCCATGTCGGGCGTCCAGATTGGACGCACCCAGGCCTCGAGCTCCTCGGGGCCGGCCTGGCCCGCGGCCATCCCCGCGACCAGCCACGCGGGCTGCAGCGGCGCGCTGGGCGGAAGCGCCACGAAGAGGCCGAAGGAGCTGCCCTCGGGCGCCCAGCCACAATAAGGGGGGAGGGAGCTGCTTCTTAACGTCAGCGCGTATGATAGGGATGCAAGGGCCTTAAAGGGCCATGTCGGCACTTCTCGAGCAGGGCGCGGCCAGCGCAAATGGCCGAGGATAGGTCATTTTACCGGCCTTGCAGACGTGCTGCAGCGGATTTCTGCGTGGATTTTTCCAGAAAGGGCGAACGAAAAACGAAGTGAATTCCGCGTGGATTCTGTTTGGTTTCTATTCCTGGCCAAACAAACATGCACGAAATTCACCTCGAAATCCGGAACGCAATTATTATCCAGGACACTCCCGGCCCACCCTATCGTTTTCCGAACGAAATCCGCTCTGCGATGTTGGCGCAATGAAGATAGGCCGAAGGTGAAGGATGCAAAGGCAACCTTGGAAAATCTGTCATCCTCACTATCCGTGTTGACTGTGCCTCCCTGGCGAAACATCTTGCATCGACGAGCTCTCGAGAAAGGCGTCGAATCCGACGGGTCCCCCAAGGGGGGGGGGTTAAGGACCACCGCTCCCCCAATTGTGGCTCGTCTGCCTCGGGCGCCCAGGGCGTCGGCACGCGCACGGCCCCGACACGCAGAAGGCGGGGGAAGCAGCCCGGGAAGGGGCGCTGCCAGAGGAAGAAAAAACGGCAGAGGCATAACCTTTCGGAGGTCCACGCGGACTCCTTGGGTCGGACCCCAGCGGCGGCTCTGGCGCCGCCACTGGCGCGCGGATGGGAGGCGCTGGATGTATATACTCCACCGTGACCTTGAGGCACGAGTGGAGCCTCAGTCCTCCTTCTCCTCCTCCTCCTCCTCCTCCTCCTCCTCTTCCTCCTCCTCCTCCTCCTCCTCCTCCTCCTCCTAGGAGCCGCCCAGGCACAAGCGCCCGCGAACTCCACCCAAGGCCAGCCCCGCACACCACACCTCTGTGTGCAGGAAGCCAGGGCAGAAAAGAGGGACGGTGCCACTCGGGCGGCAGCGAAAGCAGCAAAACAACCACACTCCCCCCACACATCCGATTAATGAAGTTGATATATCACAATGTTCAAGGGGCAGATTATACTCGACTGGAAGAGATTTCTATTCAGGTGGAAAGCGTTGACTTCTTCGTCGCCATCGGCACGGGACGGGCAGCCAGACAAGCGGACATGACCAAATGCCAGCTCCCGCATCATCAAACAGTGAACTTCGGATGGCGACGCTCGAGGACCACAAACAACTCATGTGGACTGAGTACTTTATATGGAAAAAGATTTCGAGGAACGTTGATGAGAGTTGCCACGCCACCGCCGCATTTGGGTATCACAGGGTGGGTTGCGATGGCACAGTTCAAATTTGGCAGTACAAGCCTGGCGATTTTCCCTATTTACATCCCCCCGAAGAGGCTAGCAGTCACAACGTTGAGGGCAACAACAAAATGTATCTTGGAGTGGATCGAGAGAGAAATCGATAAACTTGGATGCTCTTGCCTGCCGATCATTGCAGGCGACTACAACTGTGGCTCTGGATGGCAAACAGACCGCACTGGGCGAAGATTCAAGACCGAGTCGGGGAACGTTGGAATAAAAGAGCCCGCAATCGAGAGCAAGACTATAGCACGCAGGTGCGGGACTTCCTTCAAGGCAGCTACTTGGCCATGGCCGACACATTTTGGTTCACGGGACCACATTTTACAAAGGCACGCACAAGAGCAAGATAGACCACATTGCGGTGCCTGTCGAGAGCCTCGGGCGCATTCGGCAACTACATCCATTGCTGGGACTTGCGCGACGGCTACAAAGGCATGTCAGCACACATTTGCATGACCACGTCCCAGTATATGTGAACATGGACATCCATGTCACTCGCGCCCACATCCCCAAGCTGACGCCACCTGCGAACAGAGACAGCATGATGGGTGCATACAGCGATGGTGTGCGACGGGTGGAGTTTCTACAAAAGTTGAGCAGCACGCCAACAGCATCAGTGAAGACGAGTGGCGCAGCAAGTGGGGCCAGGGTGACGTGTAGGGATGCTGGGATAGGTTATCATCATGTATTCGGCAGGCCATGGCAGATAGCTTCCCCAAAGTTGCGTATGACACGGCAGAGTACGAACAAATGAGACAGGACCGGATTGTGCTGTTGAAAGAAAGAGGGCGCCTAAGAGAAGCAGTACACCAGACGGGCTCCAAGGCGTTCGACGGCGAGGGGTCAACAGAGTTCGACCGCATCGAAGCCAGACTGCACCAATTATCAAGACAGCTTCAACATGTCAGAAGAGAGCAACGGCTGAAGAAAACAACGGACATAGTGCAGGAGATCAACACGGCGTGGAAGAAAAGGCGGCTCGCCGAAGCTCACCGACTGCGAGTGAGACTTTCCAACACAGGCCGTGGCCGAAGAAGAGATTCATCTTCGCCCCCCGTGAAGGTATGACGGTGCAGCAGTGGGAGGAGGGACTCGCGCAGGCAGCAGAAGACGGCGGCATGCAGTGTGAGAGAGTAAAATGGGACGAATGGCTAGCAGACCGAGCGTTCCTCCCCCACCTCTACGGCCCGCCCGACATCATCGATAGGATTAAGCAGGATGAGCAGGCCAAGTGGGGTATCTAAAACGAGCCCCAAAACGACGTGCAGGACCATCATGGGGAGTACCCGCAGAGGCCCTGTGTATGTGCATCGACCCGAAGAGATACCGAAACGACAACGACCGAAAGCTTGTGCCCGAAACGTTTTCAAGGAGATACAACGACATGCTGGCCCTCATGAGACTCGTAGGCTCGGTCCCCCTCAGCAGTATACGTAGTCAGGCATTCTCTCAGAGCAAGAGCAACCAGAAGCAGGGCATCAAGGGACAAAGGATCCTCCACTGCTTCGATGCGTTTGGAATGAGTTACTTCGGGTACCTCCAGAGGACTTCCAGAAGGCCATGCCCACCAGATTGTGCGCACGGAGGGTTGAGGGGACGGAGACGAGAAGGATGCCTTCTTAGCTTAGCAGCAGCAAGTTGGAGATGCAGGCAAGCAAAGCTCGGGCACAATATCAGCAACTACGACGGCACGAACACATTCGCATGCACGCATAAGAGCAGCCTCACAGACCTAAACAGCAGCACATACAGAGCAGAAGACGTTCATCTAACAGACTAAGCAATATTGCAAGCAACCGTACATGTTGAGGCCATTGACGGCACAGCAGCTTTTCATCCAGAGCGCGGCACGACCATGGGCCACCCACTGGCGGCAGGCGATTTTGTGGACATTTATTCGCCCACGGTGAAGGACTGGAATGACAGCCTCGTCGCCGCAGATGTTAGCTATACTCGGACCCGAGGTCGGTGCCCCATTACTCGAGCTGAAGTCGACGTTGGCATAGGACTTGTTGTAGATGACGTATCACGGCTACACATTCATGCATATGCACCACAAGCACGCTACATCACACAGCAGCTCAATCACGCCACACAGGGGCGTCAGGAACACATCGCCAAAAACGGTCACGTCCTCAACAAGGACAACACAAACCATCTTGTCAGTTTTTTAATGGCCACGGCGCGTTTGAAGCGGCACGAGAACTATCCATACACAAAAAAAACAGGGAGAGGTTCTCCGAGAAGTCAGAATCCTGGGGCCCGTCATGAGCTTCGACGGAGTTTTGGGGACCGAGCTGAAGGCGCGCATCAGAGGAGCCAAGGCATGCCGCATGGAGATCGCTGGGAGACGTTTGGCACCAGCCCCTCCATCACCGACTGCTGCGCACCCTCTTCCTGTGCTTTGTATACAGCGCCGCCATCACTGGCCTGACGGCGTTCGTGTTGCCTGCGTCCTTTACAGCCAACTGGACACAATGCTGGTGAAGATGCTGCGTTGCCTGATGCACGGAAAAGCAAAAAGAGTGTTCGACGGGCGTATTAGGACATTGAGCAACAATGATGAAGCTTTCGAACATTGGAACATTAGCCGTACCGCCACAGAGCTCCGAGTGCAGCGACTCCGATGGTGGCAGCAAGTAGCAAAGGAGCCTAGCAATCATAGGCAAACCCTTACGTCTATATTTGGGACCTTGGAAATGGACAGACTACTCGAGGTTCCCAGATGCACTCCAGAGGGACACCTTACGAGGCACTCTACACCGTGGGCATTCCAGGTTCGGGACGATCTAGAGGCCTTAGCGAACGCCGACCCCCGCTTCGACATGATTTGAACCGACATGACAAAGGTGCTGCAGGTGTTCAAAGACCCTTACCTCGGAGCTAGCTTCGCCAAGATCTCAGTGGGCACCAAGAGGGACTTCCTTAGCATAGAGAGCTCAAAGAAGTTGGCCACTTTTTTACTGAAGCTTGGAATCACAACGCTTGACGAGACGATACCCCCGCAAATCACAGAGCACCAGCACGAGGGGGACAGCAGCAGCAATAGCAGCATCGTGGACGAGTACGTGTGCACGCACGAGCTGGGGGAGGAGGGCGAAGGACGAGGATGCGGCATGTCGTTCACCACGATGAAGGCGCTCACGGCACACATCACACACGCACACAACATGCGCAACTTGCACTCAACGATAGTGAGCACGAACGCATGCCCGTGGTGCAGAACGTGTTGCGCGAGCAGAACGTCTTGTCTACGGCACGTGATCACCATGTCCCGCTCCGACCCCCTTCGCTGCCCCACCAGAGCCACCTCTTTTGATTTCAAGCCAGAAGAGAAGAGCTTTTATTACACGTGCGGAGTCTGCGGCCAAGAGGACTCCGAGATTAACGAACACCTACTACACGTAGCCATACACGCGCTCGGCCCATCAGAGAGTCATGGCGTGGAGAGCAGGCAGCGGCGCGAGAGCAAGACAACGATCCGGCACGATGGAGGCAGCAGCGGAAGAAACAGCGCCTGCACGAAAGAAAAAAACACGTGGAGGCCCGAAGAAAAGTGCTGGCAGCAAGCCTGGCTCAGGCGAGGGTGCGGACTTCTTCCTGGCAGAGGGCGAAAACAAACCAGTGGAGGCCGCGGCCGAGGGAGGGATCAACTACGCACAGGATGTCAAGACCAAGGGCAGCAAGGAGATGGGATCCCCACACCTCCTCACGGGGGCACAGTTCTTCCTGGAGCTGGCCAAGATCGACCATATTGGCGGTGAGACGAAGAACATGCTCACGCAGTTCGCGGAGCTGATCGAGGTGATGAACAGGGAGGACTTCGCGGGCATACTATCATACTTTCGCGTGGAGAAAGCATACACGGAGCCAGGCCAATCACAGAAATGGAAGATCCACATTATGTTCAACTCCCGGAGCCCGTCGCCATGGACACAGAAGCTGAAGGACGAGGTGAACGCGCTGAGAGTCGGCAACGAGAAGGCGGAGATCACCTTCGGAATGCAGGATCTTCGGCAGGCCACCTGCCGCGCTCTCAAGGCGATGCAGGCCCAGCAGATCATCGGAGCGCCGCCGCCGTCGGTGCTCGAGAGACAGTTGCAAGCAGCGCTCCGTGCGCGCCAGCAGCAAGCACAGTAGATATCGATGGACTCCGAGCCATGGCACGGCGCGGCAGCGAGAGAGCCCAAACACTGCTTGCACAACTGAGTCCCCAACAGTGAGCAGTGAATGGGCCCCAGATTGCTTATTGAAGAATGTGCAGTCGTGATCAGCAGTTTTTTCTCGTTTTTCATTATCGTAGTGTATCTACCTTGAACGAGGCCAGGGGGCCAGGCGGATAGTTGGCAGCAGAGACGAATGCGACGCAGCAGACAGACACGAATGGCCTGAATTGGTATTCTACTCCCATGCAGGAGGCTCTCGTCTCAGGCTGAGACCTGCCGCTCTGGTCGCCTACCCCGCTGGCGTGTGCGCGGGACTCGCCCTGGACTGTCTTGGGATGCTACTGAGGCCCCGCTCTGCCCCCTCCCCTCTCCCCTCTCGCGGGGGAGGGGGGTCTCCTGGAGGCCCTGGCTTTCTTCGGAAGCTCTTTGACCTGGTGCGGCCGTCAGGGAAGGAGCACCGAGCGCGCTTCTTGCTCGAGCTCTACCTGCCCGTGCCTTAGAGCGTCACCGTGGGGAGGGGGGTGGAGTGGGGGAGTGGGAAGGTTGGAGGAGTCTTCTCAACTGCGCACGCTTTAGACGGGTTTCTCTCGGCTTGGACATGCATGATATTTAAAACCCGGTTTCCCGAGATGGAAGGGATGGGCCTGAAGGTCATAAACCTCCACCGTTGCATACCAGTTTTGCGAAATTCGGAGGGGCTCGGCATCGAGCTGCAGCGGGCCGGCCCAATGGGCCTAACAAGGCCTGGGGTCCCGTAGGCTGACCCCCTGCCATGCCGATAATGCCGCCAGCAGCTACCGAGCTCGCACACATGCGAGACACGTCCCAGCAACGTAGCAGTGGACTCACCAGTTGCCAAGGCTTCCGACTCCTCCTCCTCCTCCTCCTCCTCCTCCTCCTCCTCCTCCTCCTCCTCCTCCTCCTCCTCCCCCTCCCTCGTCCCCCTCCTCCCTCCCTCCCCCTCCTCCCTCCCTCCTCCCTCCTCCTCCCTCCTCCTCCTACTCCTCCCTCCCCCCTCCTCCCTTGCTCGATCCCCCGGAGCCTCAGTCCTTAGTCCTGAGCATTCTTTCAGTGGCCCAGGCCACAATTGCCCTCTCTCGGGGCGTTTCAAGTGCCCTCTGAGGCGCATCGCGTCTAGTCGCACGACATGTTCGGGCCCAAGAGGGCCCCAAGACGGGCCAAGAGGGCCCCAAGAGGCCGCCCAGACGGTCCAAGATGGCCCAGAATCGCCGCACGATCGGTCGAAGACGTCCAAGATGGCCCAAAATCGGCCCAAGAAGCCATGGAGGCGCCCCAAGAGAGCCCCGAGAGCCTCCCCAGGAGGGCCCCGAGGGGTCAAAATCTTTTAGATATTCATTCAGTGTTTCAATGATATTAAGGTCCTCGACTTTTCAAGTTTCTGGTGCTCCAACTCTGCCCAAGAGGCACTCAAGACCGCCCCAAGACGACGACCCAAGAGAGCCTAAAGACAGCCCCCAGAAGGGCCCAAGAAGGGGAACACGAATCGAAAATCCGAGTCTCCCGCCCCAAGAGGCCCCCATAAGGCCCTAGGGGGACCCCAAAGGCCCCCAAGAGGCCCCAAGAGAACCTCGAGAGGCCCCCCAGACGCCCCAAGAGGCCCACGAACGGCCCCCAAGTGGCCTCAAACGGCCCCCAAGAGGCCTTCGAGAGGCCTCCCGCGACATCCCAACGAACATGCTAGAGGCCGATGGACCGATAGCCATTAGATACTCCACGTTCTCGGACGGCCAAGGACGTAGTTGTATAGACGTCCCAGCTGTCCAACCTGTGGGCTGCTGGAGCGTCTATACCCCAAATTCCTTCGCCGAGTTCATGAGCTCTGCAGCCGACGATACAACCCGAGCGGAGAGGGTCCCAAAGTCGATCCAAGCAATCCGCGAGGAGCTTGGAAGATGTATGCGTAGTCCGGTGTTTCTTCTTAGGGCTGCGTGAGCACCAGCGCGCCGGGCTGCAGCCGCGCGGACAGCTCCCAGCCGAGCTGGAGCATCAGCTGCTCGTCGAACAGGAGCGCCGAGAGGACGATCACCGAGGCGTTGTCCGACAGGGCCACCTGGCCCCAGGCGCCCAACCATCCCTCGCTTCCGCCTCCTCCCCCTCCTCGTCCTGGTCTCTCCCTACTCCCGCCTCCACTTCCCCTCCCTCTCCCTCCACCTCCTCCGCCGTCTCAGCCTCTGCCTCCTCTCCCTTCCTCCTCTTCCTCCTCTTCCTCCCCCTTGGCTTCTCTGCTCCATCTCCTCCTCCCGCCCAGCGGCCTGGCTCCCTGCACTGCCCTGCACAAATCTCAGCTCCCTGCTGCCCTCGTCGGGTGCGATCGTGCTCCGCAGGGACACGGCGGCCGCGATTACAGTTCCGCGGGATGTTGGAATCCACTCTGTCTCAGTGCTTGCAGATGACAGGCTTTGCTTCCACAGTATGCCCTGACCAACTCCATATATGACGCCACCATACGCAGCAATCGAATCTACGGCGCCCTTGGCGAACATCGTCCAGTCGGTCTGCACGGTCATTGCGCTCAGACTCTGCTTCCAAACGTCGCTTCCAGAGCCCACTCCATAGATGACGTCCCCATGAACGGCAATCGAATACACAAACCCTTTCGAAGTCAGCTCCCACATGTCCACCAACTGCGCCCTGGCTGTCATGTTGCTCAGCGCCTGCTTCCACACCAGCCCGTCTTTCCTGGCGGCGTAAACGATGTCCCCGGAGATTGCGATGCTGATCACAGGCCCTCGCATCGCGAGGGTCCAATTGGACTCCAACGTCATGGTGCTGAGTCTCTGCTGGTAGACGTGGCCCTCCGGCCCCACTGCATCGGGGGACGTCAACCGACCACCTCACCGATCTCGGCTGGGCCCATCCTGCTTGTTGTCTACTCCATAGGAGCTGAACCTGGCCCCGGCGATGTCCGAGTTGAGGTTGATTTGGACAAGATTACTAGCAAATTTGGGACCGGATTTGGACCTGACCCTCAAAAAAGACGGCGACTTGAAGACCGAGGAAGTGAGAAGAAGCAAAAGGCGAGGAAAGGCAGGAGGAATCCCCCAAGCGCATTTCGATCTCGCCGCTCAACGCTCCCATGAACAGAATCGCACGTCCTGGTTCCATGCCGAGCCAAGAAAGGACGCACATCGATCCCGTGCCCAGGACGGGCCCGGCCAGGACCGGTCAGGTGGTCAGCCGAAGCCCCCAGAACTGCAAACACAGCGCCGCCCCGGAAGGCGAGCGCGTTCACCATCCCCTTTCCGACCAACGTCCACCTTGAGGGGCCGGTGTTTGTACTATTCGCGATAACGCCCGTGACTGGCCCCGCCCACCTCCCACCCCCCTGGTCACGTCACGATTCGCGCCAGCGCCGTCTCGGAAATCTTCGGCAATTCCAAACGGCGCTGGCGCGACTGGCCCCGTCGCCCCCCCCCCCCCCGTCACGCTCGCTATCGCTAACCAATTGTCTCTTAGCATAAACGAAACGGGTCCTGGAGGAAAAGAATGACCGCGAGAAGTCCTTGGAAACAAATTATCTTGTCGACGCCGCTATTGACGGACAAGGGCCACACCAATACTGGAAAAAAACGCTTCTCCGCGGCAAGCGCCGGCCGCACAACAGCGACGCCAACGACGTGAAATAAGAGAATGTGAGCAACGCCTTCGGCGAAAAACGTGTCGATAAATCTGTATATATATATATATGCAGTAGAACCACGCGCGCGCTACGCGCGCGCTTAGGTTCTAGCTTCGTCCGGGGCAACGGCCAAACAACGGGCGAGGAGGTTGAAGGCTGAATGCACTTCGGATATTCGTCGAATTTCGCGGTCGTGGTTCGAGAAGCTTCCGGGCGCTCCTCGCCCCCAGGCGGCCCGAGGCGGCCGAAAACGACACCTCTTCCTCGTCCTCCTCTTTCCCCCTGCTCTTCCTCCTCTCCTCCTACTCTCCCTCCTCCCGCCATCGTCCCCTCCTTCCCCCCCTTCCTCCTCCTCCACCCCCTTCCTCCCCTCCTCCTCCTTTTTCCCTCCTCCTCATCCTTCTCCTCTTCCTCCCCCTTCGCCTCCTCCTCCTTCTCCTCCTACGTTCCCTCCTCCTCCTCCTCCTCCTCCCTCCTCCTCCTCCTCTCCTCCTCCTCCTCCTCCACGCCTCCTCCTCCTCCTCCCCCCCCCCCTCTTCCTCCTCCTCCTCCTCCTCCTCCTCCTTCTCCTCGTCCTCCTCATCATCATCATCATCACCATCACCATCACCGTCACCCTCATCACCTTCATCATGTTCCTCCTCCTCCTCCCCTCCCTCCTCCTTCCCTCCTCCTCCTCTCCCTCCTCCTCCTCCGCCTCCTCCTCGTCCTCCTCCTCGTCCTCCTCTTCCTCTCACTCCTCCTTCTCCTGCTCCTTCTCCCCGTCCTGTTCAGACTACATGGCTCGCCAAACGGCAGTGCGACGCCGCGCAAGCATTGGGCCACATCGGATAAAAGGGAACACTCGGGGGAGGCCTCCCTCTTGCGCCTCCTCCTCCTTTTCTCCCCTTCCTCCACATCCTCCTCCCCTCCTCCTGCTCCTCCTCCTCCTCCCCCCCTCCTCCTCCTCCTCCTCGCCCTTCTCCTCATCCTCCTCCTTCTCCTCCTCCTCCTCCTCCCCCTCCTCCTCCTCCTCCTCCTCCTCCTTCGCCTCCTCCTCCGCCTCCTCCTCTCCTCCTCCTCCTCCTCCCATCATCATCATCATCATCATCATCACCATCATCATCATCATCAGCATCATCATCATCATCAGCATCATCATCCCTCTTCCCTCCTCCTCCCCCCGTCCCCCATCTCTCTCCACCCCCCTCCTGCCCCCCTCGTCCTCCTCGTCCTCCTCCTCCTCCTCGTCCATCTCCTCTTCCTCTTTTCCTCTCCCCCCTCCTCCTCCACCGCCTCCGCGTGCAAGAAATCCAACGACATGTCGCGGAAATCAGCGAACTATGTCCCTCCAAGTTTTTCGAACGTCCTTTCAGGACTTGTCGGGGCCGTCTTAGGGCCCTCTTGGGCGTCCTGGGAACCCCGAAATCATGTTCCGATAGAGGCTTCGGGGAACATGATTTCGGACGCTGCGGAAGGGGCCTCCCAAGAATCTCTATAGGCAGCTCTGGTTGCCCCCGTTGTGGCTCTGTTGAGTGCCTTTTGGGGCTCTCTTGGGCTGGCTTGTAGCTATCATGGGTCATCTTGGGTCCCTATTGGGCCGTCTTGGGGCTCCTCGGGGTGGCACTGTAAAGACGTCGTCGTCGTCGCCGTTCGCCGATCAGCGGCGTCAACTGTTGTCATCGTCGTCCATCGTCGTCGTCGTCGTCGTCGTCGGTCGTCGCCGTCGACGACCGTCGTCGTCATCGTCAATCACCGTCGCCGATCACCGTCGCCGATCGTCGATCGGCCCCGAGCCCTCCCGCCCACTCATCCTCCTCCTCTCCTCCTCCTCCTCCTCCTCCTCCTCCTCCTCCTCCTCCTCCCCTCCGCCCTCCCCCTCTTCTCCCTCCTCTTCCTCTTCCTCCTCCTCCTGAAATCATGTTCCCGGAGACGCTTCCAGGGACAGGATTTCGAACGATGCAGAAAAGACTGGGTCCAGGGTGGCTCTGCGCACGCGGACAGCGTCGCCGCCGTCGGCGCGGCCGTCGTCGTCGTCGCCGTCGTTCGTCGATCGGCGACGTCGACTGTTGTCATCGTCTTCTATCGTCGTCGTCGTCGGTCGTCGACTGTCGTCGTCGTCGTCAATAACCGTCGCCTGTCGTCGTCGCCGATCGTCGATCGCCCTCGAGCCTCCTCCTCTCTCCCCCTTCCTCCCCTCCACTCCTCTTCCCCGCCTCCTCCTCCTTCTCCTCTTCCTTCTCCTCCTCCTCCTCCTCCTCCTCCCCCTCCTCCTCCTCCTCCTTCGTCCTCTCCGTCTCCTTCGCGCGGAAATCCAACAACATCTCGCGCAAATCAACGAACTATGGCCCTCCGGGCCTTTTTGAACCTCCATTTAGGGCCTTCTGGGGCCGTCTTAAGGCCCTCTTGGGCGTCCTGGGAACCAGGAAATCATGTTCCCGGAGAGGCTTCTGGGAATATGATTTCGAACGAGGCCCTCTTGCCTCTTGGGCCTCCCTGAGGCCGTGTTGGGAGCCTGCTGGGCCAACTTTGGGGCCTCTTGGGCCGTCTTGGGGGTTCCGTGAGCCTCGCAAGACGACCCTGTTGGGCCGTCTTGGGCCCTCTTGGGTCTCTCTTGGGCTGTCTTGGGGCTCGGGGGCGTCTGGGGAACTGCGAGGACCAAGCAATCAAGTATGCTGAAAACGTACGTTGTGCAACTGGAGTGGGCCGATTTTTGCCTCTTGAAGGCCCTCTCCGGCCAGCTTTAAACCATCTCGGGCCCTCTTGAGGCGCTCTTGGACGCCTTGGGGCCCTCTTGGGCCTCGCTGAGGCTGTCGGACAGCGTCGCCGCCGTCGGCGCGGCCGTCGTCGTCGTCGCCGTCGATCATCGATCGGCGGCGTCGACTGTTGTCATCGTCGTCGATCGTTATCGGTCGTCGTCGTGGTCGTCGTGGTCGTCGTCGTCGTCGTCGTGAATCACCGTCGCTGGTCGTCGTCTCCGATCGTCGATCGCCCCCGAACCTCCTCCTCCTCTCTCCCCCCCTCCTCCCCTCCACTCCTCCTCCCCGCCTCGTCCTTCCCCTTTTCCTCTACAATTACCCAATATGAAAATACTCTCCCTCTTCCCCTGATGGCGTCTGGGTGATGGCCGCGCACCCTCCGCGTACTGCTTTTTTACACACAGGATCCCCGGGAAATCCCGGGAAACGACTCTCGCTGAGGCGCCGGCGCCATTTTTCCCCAAAATGCTGCTCTCGTTGAGGCGCCGGCCTCATTTCTGTTCCCGAATCGTTCCGGATCGTGCTCCCGCTGCAGCGTGGGCCTCATTTTCGGATCGGTGTTTGGCCTCCGTCGTTGAGGATGGCGTTCTCGCCCCAGCGCGGGCCTTTTTCTCGCGCGCCCATCCGCCCGCCACCACCGCGCCGCACCGCCACCACCACCACCACCACCACCACCACCACCACCACAACCAGCACCAGCACCAACACCAGTACCAACACCACCACCACAAGCACCACCACCACCACCACCAGCACCACCACCACCACCATCACCACCACCACCACCACCACCACCACTACCACCACCACCACCACCACCAAGACAACCACGCACACACGCACGCACGCACGCACGTGCACCACCACCCACTACGCACGCGCGCGCGGGGCCACAGGTCCGCTACGACACGCGTCCGCGGATAGAGAAAATCAGCGCCATGGCAAGGGATGGGAGGGAGGGGTAGGACGTCAGATATGACGCGAGCGCACCTAGCTTGTCCTCCTCCCCCTCCTCCTCCTCATCCTCCTCCTCCTCCTCCTCCTCCTCCTTCGCCCTCTCCGTCTCCTCCGCGTGGAAGAAATCCAACAACATTTCGCGAAAATCAGCGAACTGTGGCCCTCCGGGAATTTGTGTTTTGAATGTCATTTTAGGCCATTTGGGGGCCGTCCTGGGGCCCTCTTGGGCGCCCTGGGACCCCGGAAATCATGCTCCTGTAGAAAATTCTGGGATCATGACTTCGAACGAGGCCCTCTTGGGCCTCCCTGAGGCCGTCTTGGGGGCCTCCTGGGCCGGCTTTGGGGCCTTTGGGTCCGTCTTGGGCTGCGTTGGGGCTCCTTGGGGGCCACTCTGAGGACGAAGCAAGCGAGTATGCTGAAATTGTACGTTTTACACTAGGAATGGGTAAAGTTTTGCCTCTTGAAGGCCCTCTTGGGGCCCTCTTCGGCCATCTTCAAGCCATCTCGGGCCCTCTTGAGGCGCTCTTGGACGTCTTGGGGCCCTCTGGGGCCTCGATGAGGCTGTCTTGTGTGCATCTTGGGTTGTCACGCGGGCAGCGTCGCCGCCGTCGGCGTGGCCGTCGTCGTCGCCGTCGATCGTCGATCGGCGCCGTCGACTATTGTCATCGTCGTCGATCGTCGTCGTCGACGGTCGTCGTCGTCGTCGGTCGTCGACCGTCGTCGATCATCGTCGTCGTCGTCGTCGATCACGACGATAAATTTTCAATGCGCTCCAAGAGTCGCCAACCGAGGAAATCGCAAGTACAGCAATGCACAGCACGGGTGAAACTAGACAGCAGATGCCGTGCAGACTGGCGGTGACGCCGCCGAAAAGCAGACGCGCTTCGAATGAAGGGAGCATAAAATATCTAGCAGGCGTGGAAGCAACGATCAAAATGCGACCCGCGTCAGCATGTACGTGGCTGGCGCATGGAACGGTTGAAGATGTGTGCAATGCTGGAAAGCAATATAAAAAAGTATGCTCCGATGCGGCAAGTGGTGCAGCGCTACATTGGACACCGATTCTGCGAAGCTTTCGGGTGTCTTCTTACACAAACGCGAGGCTCACTCTCCCCAGGCGGAGCGGGCTCGGAATTATGCTGCCACGCATAGCACGCCTAGGACATCAACAGATCGCCCTAGTTTTCGACGCGGAGTCCGATCAGAAAGCAGTGCCACGGACAAAACTCCGCCGAACTCTTCGAGGTTCCTGGGTGCGTGAAGTTTTTTGCCACGAACAACATAACGCCCCACGAGAGCAGCCCATCCCCTCCCCGTTGCACAGGCGCCCACAGAGGCCGAAGATGGCTTGCAGATGTTCTACAGTTGCTGCATGAGCGCACAATAGGGCTTGCGATGGCACTGACATGATTGTCGAACAATCCAATGTGCTCCCGACTCCGGCCCTGGAGCTCGACAAAGACCACCAGCAATTTTGCCGGAAACGAATTGATGCTGAATTCGCGGATGTTGTTTTGCCAAGGTTTTCCTTTGCAGGGCTTCGAAATGTCACGGGAATCCCAAAAGGACCGAAGATTGTTTCAAAACGGGCCACTCCAGGACGGGATGTCGAGCGGGCGTGGTTGAGGGACCATGCCGGGGGCCTCGCAGGGACATTGCAAACCTCCTGAAGAACCGAATGCGCCACCCATCTGGGCCTCCGGACTGAGCGGCAGATGACTCTGAAGGCCCCAGGCACGTTAACACAGGTTACGGCAGATGTGGCGCAAGCCTACATAATCTGCGATTGATGCTCTTTGGGCGTGCTCGAACGCACAGAGAGTGACAAGGTCCTCAACCTGCGTCAACGTCAAGATGCGCGGGGCGGAGTACAGAGAATCGCACAGCATCGCGGGGGCTTCCTCCGATGAACTTCCAGGAATCATGGAGCCGCTGAGCATGCACAACCAACGCCCGCCGCCACATGGAGCACGAATAACATAAGCAACTGTCCGAAACATTCCTTCGTCAATCGCGCGATCGGAAAATACGTCGCCTAGCCGGGCTTGGATATCGGCTGGATCCATGGGGATCGCAGCAGCACCGGCTCTCGTAAAATTAGTCATCAAAACAGCAACGTCGTAGTTCCCGCTGGCGGGTTCAATGAGATTCTGCGGCGCATCTCCGAAATTGTGGGCCATGGCGATGCCTTCAAAGTCTTCGCGGTTGGTGACGGTAGGCAGCAGGCGTTGAGCAAAATGGAATGGTACCATGGCGTGATTGAGCGCGTGGAGGCCGCAAGTGGCATCCGTTTGGATACCACGTGCATTCGTTGCCCGCGTGGCTGGTGAATTGAACCATGCGAGAGACGTTGACACAGGCAGGAGGTCAGAAGGACAAGGCATGACAGGGTGGGAGGCTCCGTTCCAGCGTGCATGGGTCCTGCTTGGAACGGCAAGCCTCGAGAGCGCTGTGGTTGAGGCGACGTCTGAGGCACGTGGCGGATGTCCGGAAATGCCATTGCGGAGGGCTGGAGGATGAGAATATTGGCTTTGGTCTGCGACAGGGCTGTATGCATCAGTGGGGGAGGATACGTAGGCATGAAACGATGTTGCATCGAGAGCGCCCTGTGGCGTGACAGGGTCTGCGGATGACGCAGCGGAGAGCTGGCAGCGTGCAGGTTTGTGGTCGATGCCAGGAAGCATGCTGGGGAAAGCACGCTGGCAGGCATTCGAAAAAACATTGCGATCTTCGGAGGAACCGACGTGGTCTACGTCGTTGGTTTCTGTCAGTGCCACTTGGAGCTGCAGGCAGGGTGGCGGCGGACATGTCGGACAATGGCAATGGCCTGGATGTTGCAACGGGGGCCATGTCCACGCCAGGAACAGGAAGGCCTATCATTCGTGGCGCTTTCGGTGGGTGCTCGGCGACGTCGTCGCGATTATTTGCGTCAAGACACTTGGGTGAGCGCGTGATGTCTCCACAACTTGTCGCGGGCATGCTGGCGCCCTCACATGGGCAAAGTTTGGGACAACGTGGCGATTGTAGAAAGAACCGGCATTTCTTACGTGAACGTCGCCGGTGAATGCCATGCGCAGTTGGTGGAGGGGGCGTCGGGTGGTTGGAAGCGATGCTAGCATCTGCGGCATGTGGTGGACGGCCGGGAATGCCATTGCCGAAGGCTGGAGGATGACGAGGTTCATTCTGGTGCGCGGCAAGGTTGGAAGTATGTGTGGGAGGAGGGCTTTGGACAGTTACGGGCACGTGAAAAACCGAACTGCGAATCGACCGTGCGTCGTGAGCGGGTCTGATTATATCACTGGCGGCATGCGAGCTCACAGAGCCAAGCCACTCGACGAAATGATGTGAGCGATCAAATAAACTCATTCGCAGCGCATGCTCTTGCTGGTGAAAATCTGCGGCGTCTGGCGGTGGGCCCTCGATCACGCATGCGTCGTTGTCACAACCCATGAGGCAGGTCTCGCTGGCATCAAGAGCTGCCGGATCTGTCCATGGCGGCCGCGATGGAGGGGGCATCGAGTGCAGTGGGGGTTCATGCGGTGTTGCAGGAACCGTTTCTTGTGTACTTTGTTGGGGCATGGAATGGGCCGGCAGTCTTTTGTCGACAATGTTGAGCGTGTATTGTTGCGGCAGTTTCTTGTGGTCGCTCAGTTGTCGTTGCTTGTCATCTCCATTGTCTTCGACCAACACCCTGACATTCTGCGATGCGACCCCGCGCGAGAAGGCAACGTACAGTTGGCCGTGTGAAAAGACAGGAGTGGGAAGGTATATGCCCAGCCTGCCAGGCAAAGACTGACATTGGCTTTTACTGACTGTTATGGCCCAAGCGAGTCGCACAGGAAATTGGAGACGCTGGAGCACGAAAGGCAGATCGGTGCCCCCACTGCTGTCGCAACAAATGCGCGGTATCAGTTCTAATTCCCCACGGAGCGGGCCAGTGACAATGCGGACAAGCATGCAACATTTCATTAGCCTTTCTACGACGAGCCGGGTGCCATTACATAATCCTTTGTGCGGTGCGTAGTTCCGCAATCCGACACCGTGCCTCCTGGCACGTTGAGGCGCGCTGCAATGCCAGGTGCTGTCTGGTGGGGTTTCTGTAATCTTCTAAGGGACCCCCCGCCCTCCTCGTCGCATCCACCCGCATGAATCTGCCCCTCTTCCTGGGACTCTGTCGGCTCCCAGACGCGCCCCGCCCCCGGCGCTCTCCAATTCGCCAAAGATGCCCAAGATGGCTGCCAAGACGGACCTGGGAGGCCACCAAAGCCGCCAAGATGCCTCCAAGAAGGCCCAAAAGGCCCCAAAGAAGCCCCAAGAGCGCTCCAAGAGGACCCCCAAGAGGGCTTACATATGCAAAAATCATTGATCTTCATTGTGTGTTTTCAATATGTTTCACGTTATCGCCTTTTCGAGCTTCCGACGCTCCAAGACGGCCCCCGGGGCCCCAAAAACCGCCCCAAGACGGCCCAAGAGGCCCCCCAGAGGGTCCCAAGACGGCCCAAAAGGGCTTCAAAACGGCCCAAGACGCACCCAAAACAGCCCAAGAGAGCCCCAAGACGGCCCCAGAAGGGGCCCAAGAGGGGGAATACGAACCCAAAATTCGAGCCTTCCGCCCGAAGAGGCCCCCAGGAGGCCCTAAGAGGCCTCCAAGGAGCCCCAACAGGCGCCCAAGAGGCCCCCAAGAGGCCCCCAGACGGCCCCCGAGAGGCCTCAAAACTGAGTCAAACAGACTCCCGAGAGGCCTCTCACGATATCATCATCATCATCATCATCATCATCATCATCATCATCATCATCACCATCATCACCATCATCATCAGCATCATCAGCATCATCAGCATCATCATCATTATCACCATCGTCATCATCACCATCACCACACCCATCATCATCATCACCATCATCATCATCATCATCGTCATCATAATCATAATCACCATCGTCATCATCACCATCATCATCGTCAACATCATCATCCTCATCATCATCAGCATCATTATTTTCATCATCATCCTCACCATCATCAACAACATGATCATCATCATCATCGTCATCATCATCGTCGTCATCATCATCATCGCTATCATGTGGTTCATCCCTCGCGAGTGCGGCCTCCCGTGCCCCCTCGAACGAGAGCCACTCAACATGTTGGGCTGGCACGGTGGCGGGACTTGCCGCAGGCAACTGGATAGAATGACTAAGGACCCACTGCGGACGCGCAGGTCGCGGGGGGGCACGCCTCCAGGTTGCAACGCGTGGAGAAACTCATCCGAATAGACCTCAACTCCGAGGCATTCCGACGCCACGGAATCGATGCTCAAAGATCGTATTTCGGTGTCTGGGTTCAAGGAAGCTTGCATGGCATCGTTGAGGGCGTCAGCTGCCTCGTTGGTTGGTGTCGCGACAGCTCGGTCAGAGTAGAAACTTGCCCACTGCGCAGGCTGTGCCCTCTCAAACCCGTCGTAAACCCACTTCATCAGATCTGCGCTGGCGGCGTCCGGCTGACCGGTCCACCAAGGCCAAAATCATCGCAATAAGCATCGGCGCCGCCGTCGTCGTCGCCGTCACCGTCGCCGTCGCCGCCGTAATAATTGTAGTAGCTGCAATCGCAGTAGCGGCGCGGATGATAGAGGTGTAGGGGATGCATTTGTGATCGTATAAACGCCAATAGCGTCACCATTTGATCAGTGAAATTTGATAGCAGGAACAATAATCATGATAGTAATGCTGGGACTCGAAATCCCGCCATCCCTTTGGGCGACAGGCGGTCTAACGAGATCTTTATTCCCTCTTCCAAAACCCCCTTTTCCCCTTCGGGAGGGGTTTACCCCTCCCCCATACCCCCTCCCCTGGACTTGGACGGGGGCGGTCGCGATGTGTCAGGGGGCCCTTTTCGGCCCAAGATGGCCCCAAGAGGGCCTCAGAGAGCCCAAGATGGCCTTCAATATCGGTCGAGACAGCCCAACATGGCCCAAGATAGCTAACAACATGCCTCCAAGAGGCCCCAAGAGGACCACAAGACGGTCCCAGGTGCTTTTGGAGACCCGTCAGGACCTCCCCGAGAAAGCAATTTCCTTCAAACACCTGAAGAAAATCAATGATGTTTGCCTTCTCGCCCTGTCGCCTCCGCTGCGCTTTTGAGGCCTCAAGATGGCGCCAATATGGCCCAAGAGAGCTCCAAGAGCGGCCCAAGAGGCCCTCAGACGGCCCCAAGAGCGCCCAAGAGCGGCCCAAGAGGGCCCCAAGAGCGCCCCAAGATGCGATTCCGGTGGCCCCCCAAGGGGGGAGACAAATCGGGGACCCCCCTCCTTTTTGATCGATGGCCTTCCAAGATGGCCCCAGGAGGCGCTCCATAGCCCCCAAGAAGGCCCCAAGAGAGGCCCAAGAGAGCCCCCAGGAGGCCCCAGGAGCGCCGCCCCAAGACGCCCCAAAAGAGCCCCAAGAGGGCCCCAAGACCCCTAAAGAGCCCCAAGAGGGCCCCAAGATGCCCCAAAAGAGCCCCGAGAGGACCCCAAGACCCCCCCCCCCCCAAAAAAAAAAAAACCCAAGAGGGCCCCAAGATGCCCCAAAAGAGCCCCAAGGGGGCCCCAAGATGCCCCAAAAGAGGGCCGAGAGATCCCTGAGACCCCCAAAAGTGCCCCATAGCTCCAAGAAAGCCTCCTGTGTTCCAAGATAGCCTCCAAGATGGCTCGACACCCTCCTCCCCCCCCTCTCCTTGTCCGCTCTGTTTCACTATATGTGTTTCTTTTTTCCATTGCCCGTCAGCTCTCATGGGAAGGGCTTCTGAATGGACTGGCGGGGATTCGCGAAGCGGAAACAATTGTACTACTAGTAGTAATTGTGGTGGTGATAGTTGTAATAATAATAGCAGAAATGGCTTCTCGCTCCGTCTCCGATAAACGTATCCAGCAGAAGTGCGACGCAAGAAAGAAGCACTGTGAGAAACTGACCGGGTTCAGTTTTCCCTGGCAGGTTCGAGCATGCGCTGCGTTTGCCGACGCCCAGCTCTTGAAAGCGGCCCTACACATGCCGCCGCTGCTCGAGCCCGCGCAATTGCAGCAGACATGATCAGGCAATGCTGATCGCCCCCCAGCAGCCGCCCCAACGGCCGCCCCCCATGCTGGTTCGCGCCAGAGGCTGCGAATTATCGCCAGAGGCCAGAATCGCC